AGGAACTCAGTGTTCTGAGTGTGTAACCAGAGTCTTTTTAAAAATAGATCATTTATACTATAGAAAATCCAGCTCTGCAAAGATGTGAAGATGTTGCAGACTTTTGCTATTATTAATACTAGGAATCATTATCAAAATGTTCCATTGTATGTACTTACATAGTGAAAACAAATACTCCTTAAATATAGATTTCAAAGAATACATGAAAACTGCTTGCAATTCTGAATCACTTGTCAGCAAATGTATTTCAGAAATATAACAGAGATAGCTTGCTACACCAAAGTTGTCTTTGGAATTTGTTTATCAAGATACATAATTTTACGTATGTAATGAATCTTCAGTTTAATTTGTTATTTGTCACTAAAGACTGTCTCTTTTTTTAAAAGAAGGCCCTGTGAATATGATGTAGTTTAATTGTAAATCTTGGAATTAATATGACCAGGGCACTTGACAAAGGAAAATATCAGGAGTGGTTGTGCAGTTGATTTTAGCAAACACATGCCTCATGAATTTATAGTCAATATATTAGTTTCAAGCTTTACTAAAAAGCAGTTGCTGTGAAGATGTTCTTCATAGCTTCTGAAAGTGCCAAAATTAAAGGAATATTTTTATGATAGGATTTCACTGAAACATTACACAGAGATATTTTTAAAGCATTTCATTAATCTATTCAAATAGTTTACAGGGCATCATATGATGTAAAATGACTGTGAAGAGATTTTTGTTTTAAACATCTAATTGTTTCAGCAATGAGCCTCATACTTAAGCTTGTAGAGGAAGGGTTTAAAGAGGTGTAAAAGGAGCTGAACTGTGTGGTTCTTGCTGTGTAACATGACTTTGTTATAAGGTTAATTCATAGCAAAAGTTTAAGCAATAAACGGGGTTATGAAAAGCCATTTTATATTTTCTCTAGACACCATGATGCATCTCAAATAGGGGAGCCCAGATTGGACAATTTGTAACAGACAAGTCCAATCTGGCTATGTGTTGAAATTGTAGGAGCCAGGCTCTAATTCTGCTATGTTACTACCACCTTGGTAGTGACTGACCCAGCGCGAAGTACATGCTTCCTCTTTCTGGGTTTGTCAGTGACCTTAGGTGAGACAACTCGCTTTAACCTGAGGTAGCAAAATATCTACCTGAACAAAACATTTTTAGCTAATGCCTGTCACTTGAAAGGTTGAGAGTAGCAAGGTACTTTATAGGAAAATCTGTATTGACACAAGATCACCAACTAACACTTGGTGTCATCTAGGCAAAAAGGAATAACTCAGAGGAGATTGTCATTGACTTAGGCAGGAGAAAATTAAAATGAAGAAGGAGAAATGAGACATTCCCTATTATAGAGGGATTTTAAGGTTATAACCAAAAACAATTGTTCATAACAGAATAACAAACATCACAGATTAATGAAAGGTAATTCAGATCTAATAGACTGCAACATAGCTATATTTCTGTAATACAATGGGATATTCCTGGCATTTGGGCTATAACACAATACCTATTCAACCTCCCCCAGTTTACTTAGCACTGATTTTCTTCAGGTAGTATTACTTTCATCCTTAACAGTAACAATCCTTTTACGTTAAGACTTAAATTATGTTTATTTTGTTACAGCGTATATGTTAATTTCAAAGGTGAATCAGGCCCTGACTTTTAGAAATGCCTGTTACATGGGAAGGAAAATTACTATTTCTGATACTTGAATTTGCTGATGTTGTTTTAATATGTCTTTACAGAAGAGGTCCAAATTGCCATTCCAATAATGAAACCAACCTTAGATAAAGTCCAACTGGCTGGACAGACCTTGCCTCCTGGATTTCCTGCACCATTTCTTTTTGCTGATGGCCTTTCATCGGTAGAAACTCTATTAACCAATATTCAGGTAAATTATTCTTCATTGGACTGGAGGTAAAAATGTAGATATTACCTGGTATTTACCAGGTAAAATATTACCTGGTATTTAGTAATCCATATATTCTATGTTATGTCATGCTGGTTAAGAGGGATTTGAAGTGTCACGTGCATTTTAAATGGAGACATAAGAAAATGAAAGCATATGTTACTTGGTGCTTTGTTCAAAATACAGTAAGAGAGTTATTTTTTCTGATTAGTAGTAATATATTTTGGGTTTGTTTTTATGATTATATAGAAGACAAATGTAATTTTTTAGGTTTGTATTTATTCAAACATCTCTTAATATTTTGAAATTTTCATTTTTTTCCTGAAATTCTGAATTTCTTCTTAAAACAGTAGCTTTATAGGTGTACTTTGAATTTGAATAACTGACTATATTGCTTTTAAAATTTTTGCAATATTCTTTGAGTTGTCTATTTGACTGAATGGTTGGAAGTAAATGCCAAATTGAAATCTAATCTTATTTTCCTTTTCCTTTTTTCTTCTCCTTCACCTTTCCTTTTCTTTGTTCACTTTATCAAGTTTTGAAAGTTGCATTACCCAATGTATAATAAACACCGTCAGCAGAATGAATTTTTAAAAAGTTATTTTGAATGACTTCCCTCTTCCCCCCAAATTTTTCATAGAGTATAAAATGCTGTATATATAACAAAGCAGCTCCATTTTTTCAGGTGCATGCAAAACTTTACAGGTTTCTCTTCATTTTTCTGTTCTCCCAACGATATCATCATCAATAAACTGATGATTTATGCTGTGTTTTTAGGGTCTGTTGAAAGTGGCTGTGGACAATGCCAGAGTCCAGGAAAAACAGATACAGCAAGAAAAGAAAGAGTTAAAGATGGAGCTTTGTAGAGAGAGAGAACTCAGAGAGAGCTTGGAAAGACAACTTACAGCCGAACTGCAAAGCAGAGGTACGTGGATGAAGAATGAAGGTTAGCTATCTAATTAATTTATAACCCTTTCGGTGTTCCCAACAGCAACATTTAAAATATTTTGCTTGCTCAGAACTGCTGATGCCTTTGGGTTAATTGGCAGTCCTACTTTGCTGTAATGCACCAGTGGACAAATACTAGTAATAAAAGATTTAAGTTTTATAAAAACTATGTCAAACACATTTTTCTGCAGGCAGGTGGAATACTAACTGTTTCTTAGGGGATAAATGGCCATGGTAGTCAGTGTCATGACTTTCACTTGTATTACTGCCATTCCATCTGTGTGTTCCCAGCTTGAATTCCTGATTTAGCAGCTTTATTTTTTTCTGTGTTTCCAACTGATATCTAATAAACAGTTGGTATCCGTCTTATCATGAGGAAACTTCACACAGGAAAGATGCTTGTAAACTGCATTTTCAGACTTTTTCTTTCATCAGTTTTCCTCTAAACTAATTTACTCCTGCACAGGAAGGATAGTTAGTTAGCCTTGCTTGCAGATAACTCCTGTACAATACAATCAATCAGCTGATGGGAGGAGATTCTTACTGAAGCCTGTCCTTCCTGGAGATCTGAAACAAATAATCTTATTAATTCCCCTGTCTGCCATCATGCCATAAAGGATGGAATGCAATATAGCTCTCAAACTGTTCTTTTAAGGTTGAAATATGAAACAAAGTCAGTATATCCCTAAACAGGATAGGGAGTTTTATTATATAATATTATAATAATATGAAATTAAGAGAGAAATTAAGTCTACATTTTTCAGAATGGTATTGTCAAAAGTGTGGGATTTTCTAAAATTCAGTTCCCACATCAAAAGGCAACATTAAATGGGGATAAGAAATCATCAACATGAAAGTACACTACCTATGGATTAGATTTGAAAACCTAGAAATGTAAGTGCTAAATTCTACCCATGTCTGCTTCTTTAATTGATGCTGAGATTAGATCTGCCAAGCCTGACTAGAAAAGCTGAGCAAAAGGAGAAGTCTAGGAGTTAGGTGAAAGTGGTGACACAATTCTTTTGAGATTGACAAATATCAGTTGACCTAAAACAGTTGCACCACTCCAGTCCGAAGGCAAGAGAGTATGCTGCATTCCCATGGGATGAAATTCATTTCTGTGTAGAGATTTATGCTTAAAGTCTGTGAATTATTTAAGTTATCTTTAAGCCCTTACTTGGTTTAAGTGATAAATAGACTTTACTGGTCCCCAGCAGAGTTTTACCAGCAATCACTGAACCGTCAGCCTTGGTCTCATTCTTATTTCAACCCATTTCCATGTCCAAATGTGCACTTGTATAGATGGAGATGCCATAGAGCTAGGCTTTGTTGCCCATCAAGTCTCCCTCATTGTATTTCTTTAGAATTATACTTTTTCATGGACTGTAAGGGGGATAGAAAACTGGATGGAGCATTGGGCTCAGAGAGTAGTAATAAATGGCTCTATGTCTAGTTGGCAGCTGGTATCAAGTGGAGTGTCCCAGGGGTCAGTCCTAGGGCCAGTTTTGTTCAATATGTTCATCAATGACCTGGAAGATGGCATAGAGTGCACCCTCAGCAAGTTTGCAGATGACAACAAGTTGTGGGGAGTAGTAGATATTCTGAAGGGTAGGGCTAGGAATCAGAGTGAATTAGACAAATTGGAGGATTGGGTCAAAAGAAATCTTATGGGCCGCGTCCACATGAGTGCGCACATGCCTCTTGCCCCGTCTCAAACCCTTTTGAGATGGGGCAAGAGGCACATGTGGGAACGAAAAATGTTTCCTGCACTGAAAACTTTCAGTGTAGGGACAAAAATTAGACCGCTAGATATCCAGGGGTAAAAAAAAAAACACTCTGGAAAACAGCTGGAGCCAGCCTGGGAGTCAGTCCTCCAGAAGAGATGCTCTGGTTTTGGCTCTGGTTTTGGTGGCACCGTGGTGCTCCTGCATGGTGCTGTCCAAGGTGAGTTCAGGAATGGGGGTGGGGGGTTTTATGGGTGTGGGTGGGTGTGAGGGGTGGCAGGGGGATGTCGGTGGAGTGTTGAGAGGGGTGGGGGGCGAGTGGCCGGAGCAGCCACGGTGAAGCTGGCGGCATGCAAAGGGATCTGGCACAGACAGGTGCAACTCGCTAGTCCAGCTCTGCACCAGTGGGTTGCATGGCTCTGGGAGGCATGCACAGGAGCCGTGCCTCCCAGAGCCATGTGACCAACTCTGGTGCAAAGCCGGACTAGCGAGCTGCACGGGTCTGTGCTGGGTACCACCATGCGCCACCTCCCCGCAGGCACAGAGGGGCAGAGGTGGGACTCAGCGCAGTGCACGGGGACTGTGCGCCAAGCCCAGCCAGGTACTGCTGGCCCTGGGGCTGCTCTGCCACCCAGCTGGGCCGGTCCCATGGTGGCAGGACCTGGACGCTGAGCGCAGTCAGGTCATAGATTCATAGATTCATAGATGTTAGGGTCGGAAGGGACCTCAATAGATCATCGAGTCCGACCCCCTGCATAAGCAGGAAAGA